AATCACCTTAAATGATAACATTCTCAATAGTCCACTGGCATCCTCAGAATGTCCCTCTCACAGCTCCCTCTGGTATGTCCCAGGGGATGAGAGACATCCCAGAGTTCTGGGGACTGTTTCTGCTGAGGAAACACAAAAGAGAACCTGGTCAGAGTCCAGAGATGAGACCCTCGGAGGAAATGATGAGGGTGACAGTGAGCCTCTAGTGGGCTCTGAGACCTGGGACGCTGGTCGTGAAGGACCCACCAGATGGGGGACTGCTGTCAGCTACAAGCAATGATTCTCTATTTTTCTCAGCATGGTTACATGGGAACTATGAACAAGGACCTCTGCATTTTATCATAAGTCAGAGAAAGCAAAACAAACTTGCCTAGCATGCCATGCGTGTGAGCTCATACACACCACATATGTGAGCCCTTGGGCTTGTTGGACATGCCTGTCCTTGTGAGCCTCTGTTGCTAAGTTACCACAGAGGAGACTTCCAAGGACAAAGCGAGTTTGGGATGTCCCTCCCAGGCAGTATTCCCCCCTGGTACATGCGAGTTTTCTCAGCTTTTCGGTCAGCCCTTCCCTTGCCGGCCTCAGGTCACCTCTCGATCATCCTCATGCAACATCCCCCTTTCTTTTTCTTTAAAAAGAGGGCTAAGATCTTTGAGGTGGAATATTGTTCACTCATGGTTCGGCAGAGGCGGGAGTATCCTACGCAAAAAATAATCACACATATTAGTAGAACAATCACAGCACTACTAACACTATGGGTCATGCTCTGCATAAATGATCATGGGTCCATTCCCTGAAGCGCCTCGGCTATTCCTTGAGCCAGTCCCTCATATGTTTCCTTGGGTAGATCAAGCAAAAAACAAGCCAACACCTGTTGTTGAAGAGCATGAACATCCAAGGACATATTACTAGAGATACTGTCCAGGTGGTATCAGATTGCCTGCCAGAAGTGGTTCAAACTACTGTACTGCACTGGAGTCACATAGCAAGCTGAGACATTCCAGTCACAATGTAGCATAATCTGATGTTGAAGTGCTACAAACTGGCCACCTAGCCATTGAACAGCTTGTTGTATTTTGCCCAGGCAACCCTCCAGTTCCTCATCCAGATGAACGTGAGGCTGCCAAAGCTGCCTGGAATCCTCATGACCTTGCATTCCAGCTCATAGTCTGCAGCAGCGGAGGATTAGGGACATAGGTCCAATAAAAAGATTCTGCACCAATTACCTCCACAATGGCCATCATTTCAAAAAACAAAATCACAGAATTTCGAGGTTTCTTCGTATGGGCCACCACTCTCAGCTTGATGCACCAGCTTCTTCAACTGTCCCCATGTTGGAGGATCTGCCTTATTGCTGTTGAAAGTGGGGTTGGTCACTGCTATCAGGCTCAAGCTGCTCATCTCCTGAGTCAGAGGCTTGAAGTGGAATCTCCCCCTCTTGGCCATAACGAGGCTTAATCAGTTTTGAAGGTAACCACCGCTCTCTGGCTTCCAGACCTGGAGAAACACAAGTAAACCCTCTTCCCCAGGTGAGCACCTCTCCCTTTCCCACTAATTGGTCATCTCATCTTTCCACCAAATGGGCTGTTTTACTACAGCCACTTCTGAATGCCAATGCTTTTTAGTTGTAGAACAGTCAGTATCAGCCTGCAAATTTAAAAAAATTAGAGTAATAAGTGCTTGAGCAATCAGTGTAGCAGGGGACTCTCTCCCCCTTTTTTGATTTTTAAGGGCAGATCCCAGGACGTAGTCTTAGGAAACAGTTTTTTTTCCAGGGTTTTGTGTATGTTAGAGAATAACAGTCTGCCACCAGTATTGTCCATGAAGTTCCAGTATTGACAATCCTTCATTACTGGAAATTAGTTAGGTCATGCCAAAAAAGCACCATGAAGCATTAGCCAAAACAAAACAGTAAATATGTCAAATCACAGGAAAAAAGAAGCAAAAAGAAAATTCTGTAAACTAGTTTAATTTATTTAAAAACAAGTTTTCTCCACTTTGATTCCAATTTTATATAACAGTACAGCAAAATATTTGTGAACTAAATTTACTTTTAGACCAATTTGCCTATTTTTGCATAAAATCACAAGGCAGAATAACCAAACAGCAATTTTTGCTAGCTTTGTTGGAATACTCCAAATAGGATCAGATTGAACTGTTAAAATCAGGTCTAAAAGTAGGCTTCAGGAACACAACTGGTCTCCCCAGACTCCACCTGGGCTTTCCTCTTTTCGAGGGTACCAGGACTTTTTCTTTTTCCAGGTTGGCCAGTCCTGCCAATGAAGGCAAGCTTCCTCATCATTTTTGGAGGTCTCTAGAACCCTATGAACAAAGCAGCAGTTTCTCCTTTTTTTGGTTCAGCTCTATGTCAACTCCCTGGAAAAATTCCACTCAAAGCCACACAAAATGTAAATACAACTTAGCTAAAACTTAGTAAAAATCAGGTGTAACTCCAACAGTCTATGCAGTCCTTTGCAGAAAATTTTTACTGTCAAAAGTTGCATCAATTTGAATCAATTGAGGCCTTTTCTCTTTATTTTTTGTAGAAACAATTTCTGCAGACATCAAACCATTGAAGTACACAATATTGCAAGGCAACAATAACCATTGACAATTTGCATACATATCAGGTACTGAAAGATTTTTGCCGGAGGCCAGCTCCTGCAAAATGTCATGTCAAGGGTCCCTGCAGCACTAGATGACATCAGCAAAGTGGAGGGATGAGGGGATGAGGGAATGAGGAGACACAGACACTTGATAGGGTGCAAGTATCTCCTGCTGAGGGTCTCAGAGGGTCTTTATTTATACATCAGAATTTTTTTATTTGATCATTACATCATGCATTATGTCATTTACATTGTGTCAGAATTTATTTTTGATCACTCAGTGCACAACCCATTTCTTAATTTTCCTAGTCTATGATTAACTTGGTTACTTGGTTACATTAACTTGGTTACATATTTTCCTAGGTGATGTATGTTATTCAGAAAATAAAAACAGGTGCTACACACTACGTGATTTATGCGGACAGGCTAGGTAAATAAAACAAGGCTAAGCAGGGATTGTAAGATGGAGGGCGGCCTCCTATTTTCTATATAGAACCTAAGGTTTCCCGGTACCGTGGGAACAGTATGTGGCGTGTCTTTCTCGGACCATTTTGCCTCCCCTGGTGCCTCAGGGCCTTCTCTTCTGGGGACTTTTACCAGGCTTGTTTCCAACAGCTCTATCAAATGTGGCTTGTTAAAGAACTCAATGTTTCTCATGGTAACTGAGTTACAAATTGGAGGATGTGGAGAATCATTGGAAACCGTTTCATTATCAATCATGTTGGAAGGCACTTTTCTTAAACTACTGAGGTGTGCATTACTGAAACTGGCATTGATGCCAGCACTCATTGTGTTATTCTGGAGCTTATAGAAAACTTCCATGGTTTCAATAACTGCCACAACCAAGTGAAAAGAAGTAGCTGGAGCCAGCTAAGGAGTTTTCTGACATTTCAGAAATTTCCCCCATGCCCGGACCTTGGCAGACAGCATGAGTAGCATGACCTGCACTAGATTTTGTTTTAGAAAACCAATATTAACATTTCTGTACATGCCAAAGTTTTACCATTTTCCAAGTGACAATACTTCCCTTTTAGTGTAACTTTATTAAGTAGAAATAGGACAAATAGGACAAATTTATCTAATGTCTTTCCCAGGAGGAAAGGGAGAAAGTTTGTGGAGTGTTTCTGGAGTTCTACTGAGGTTCCACAAAATTTCCTTCAATCGATCAAATGACAGGCTACCAAATTTTACTTCAACTTAAATTTTTGGGAAGCTTTGCCATAAATATTAGAAAACAGCAACAACAACCATATTTAAATCTCTACGAAAGTTCCCGCCCTAAGTATATTGACATTCAAATCATAACCTTTAATTTTCATCTCAAAAACCTTAGTAATTTTTCAGACACTTAAAAGACATTATGTACCCAACATCATTAACCCAGACAAGAGCTAAGTTTATACCCAATGTGAGTTTATAAGTACATGTTTTGAAACAACCCATTGGATTACAACTCAGTTACTGTTAACCAAAAATTATTTCAGCTGATGTGTTCCCAAAACACTAAGGCAACTATGAAAGTTTAGTTGTAGCTTTAGTTCCTGTTATGACTGGAATTCCATTTTGCAGGGCTGTTAATAAAACAATGGCACATACCAAGTTTTTTCTAGACTGGCTAATAATCAAACAAGCATTAGGCAGATTAATAAAAACAAGAAAAATCAGAGCAACATATAGATACTATGTACATTTTTCATATACATGTGACTCAGTAGGACAGACAAAAGTACCTTTTATACCAGAAGTTTCTTTTGAAAGAAACACATTTAAACAGAGTAAATTATTAACACTTAACATTATGACTTTAAAGCATATATGCTTTGAATTCTATCAAAAGATTTATAATTAGTCCTATGGAGATAAAAAACAAAACAAAACAAAGACAGTTACAAACAAACACAGAGAGTTCTTGATATTCATATTCAACTTTGGCCATGTGTATAAATTTTAAGAGATATTTATTTTATAAATATTTGTGAAGACACTGAGAAACCTGTTAATGATTTAATTTTAGTTCTATAACAATTCTTTTAGATCAAACACATTTTAAATTTGTATTTTTAGAGTGACTCTGGCTTTGAAGAAGCCGTGCACAGAGAATTTACATTAGTATTTTAAGACCTGAAAAAAATTCCTTTAAAATTGTAAAAGAGCCTTCATAAAACATCTCAAACAACCTAGTTTTTGAGATACCTTAGCTTCTCATTTATGTTTCATATTCTCACTTACCAAGTTTTTTTTTTTGTTACACTTTTATATTAAAAAGATTTTTAATGAGTTAAAAGCTAAAATCTTTACATAGAATATGTGTAGATTTATTATTACTAAAGACCTTGGGCTCGAGACTACAACAGTCACAGCAGTTTTTACTAACTTTCTTTAGATAAGAAAATATTTTTTGAGTTTATATTTTAAAGAAATGATCCTTTGGCTTTAAGTTGTTATGGTTTTATCTCACTGAGAACAAGCATATTTTTTAAAGATTTATTTATTTATTTATAAAAAGAACGGGGGTATAGGTCAGATGCGTGGGGGAGTGAGAGGATTCACCAGGGACAGAGCGGGGAACAGAACAGGCAGACTGACAAAATACACTGCTGAGGGGAGCAGCGGGTGTGACAGGAGAGGTCTGCCATGCCATGTGGGACCCTCGCCAGCCAGCCAGGATCGAACCAGCACTGCAGAGGTTGCAGACAGCTTCACAGTGTGGTGCTCAACCACCTGCGCCACCAGAGGAGGCCCTGAGAACAAGCATATTTTTAAGACAAAAAAGAGCACTGTTATCTGAGGCTAGGAGAAGAGGTAAATTTTTACAGTCTGCCCATTTTTAGGCCTTTATCAAAATCCGAGGAATTTAGCTCAAAAATGTTAGTATTATCACTTTATATTTTTACCAGGTTAATTAGTTTTTAACCAGAAACAACCTTTTACAGGTCCAATAAGTAAATTTAAAAGATTTTACTCAACCAAGGAAATAGGAGACACAGGGAAATAGGATGTTTTACCTATAGAACAGGCCAGAATGGTGTTTTAAGGTGGACAAAAGGAGAGTCCAGTCCCCTACAGCAGAAAGGCAGCAGAGACCTGCCAGTGATCTCAACACTGGGGAAAAAGTCCAGGCAGCTGCTTGCTGAGACTGGGGTAGCCTCCACCTGTCCACTGCAGTGGGTTTACAATATTTTAATAAAAACCTTTTAGTCTCATATAGTCATATTATAACCATTTCCTATCACTTTAACAATTGTGAATGAAATTTGAATACCATTTTTTAGAAATACCTTTTTTATTTTCTTAAAAAGAACAAATGGCAAAACTCCAGTGGCAGGAAGCCTGGCCTCCCCCCCCAAATTATTAACAGGAAAAGCTTGAAGCATTTCTTCCTCCATTTATAAGACAGTGTCATGTTATCTCTTACTTGTTCCTAAGTTTCTATATCAAGCAACCTGCCCTCTGGGAACCATGGGTTATATTTTTCCACTACCGTTAAACATTCTAGAATCTGGTTAAGGGTATTTTTGCCCCATGGTGAGAAAGCAGATGCTGCAGAAGCAAAGCAAAAGTAGAAAGCCTTGAAGAAGATTGCCCCATCTGGAATTCCCCACCTCTACTCACGTCCTTCTGTGGAGTCGAGACCACTGCTGTCACCTCATCACTTCAGTGGGAGGTTTCTCCTTCAGGTCCCTGTTTGGGCACCACTTGTGAGCCTCCAGTGGGCTCTGAGACCTGGGACGCTGGTCAGAAGGACCCACCAGAAGGGGGACTACTGTCAGCTACAAGCAGTGATCCTCTACTTTTTCTCAGCATGGTTATATGGGAATTGTGAACAAATACATCTGCGTTTTATCGTAAGTCAGAAAAGCCAAAACAACCTTGCCTCACACACCATGTGTGTGAGCTCATACACATCACTTATGTGAGCCCTTGTGCTTGTCGGACATGCCTGTCCTTGTGAGCCTCTGTTGCTAAGTTACGACCAAGGAGACTTCCAAGGACAAAGCAAGTCCGGGGCGTCCCTCCCAGGTGGTTTTCCACCCTGGCACATGCAAGTTTTCTCAGCATTTCGGTCAGCCCTTCCCTTGCCATCCTCAGGTCACCTCTTGATCATCCTCGTGCAACAGTGACTCTCCCTAGAGTTCCCTCTATACAGTCCTCAGGGGCTCAGGGATCCAACCACTGATCTACACTTACCTGCACCCTGAGTGTAGCTGATTGCTTGTCCCCCTACTGGAAGAAAATGTGAGACAAGGGAGAAGTCAGCCCATGGAGTCCTAAAGGAATCTCCAAGTCTGGGTCACAGGGAAATTTCTAGAACTGTGACTGAAGACCCAGGTCAGGACTGGGATATATGAAGAATGGATATGAAAGGGAATTGGAGTCTTTCCACAGCAGGGTCCCTTCCCATTGGCATTTACTGGGAAACAGATCCCCATCACCACAATTATAAGGTGAATAATTGGTGATTCATTTTCAAAAGTGTTTTACAAAAACCTGAGTGTTAGCAATCAGCACCACCAGACTGGGCAACACATGTGTGGATGGTACTTCCTCCTACCCAGGTAAGGCAAGTCCTCCCTGGGACATGAAAGCCCCCAGTGGACAAAATCCCCCACTCCCTTCCCTACCTGAGCTTCTTCCTCCACATCACAGCTGCAGCCACCGCAGCTCCAGTGAGCACAGCTCCAAGGAAAACCAGGCCAGCAATGATGCCCGCAGTGGGGACAGAGGACTGAGGAGGGGGCACTGGAAGGGACGGGAAGATGAGACCCTGAGCCCCAGGAACATCCTGACTCTCTGAAGGTCTCCAGAAGGGCTCCTGATTCCTCCAAACAGAAGCTCAGGGCCTCTCTAGTGGCACAGTGGTTGAA